ACCCCCCCACCCCCGTATAATCGTCGGTATCGATCGCGACGGGACGCGCTCCTGTAGCTCCGGTGGTTGCGCTACATTATCTTTTTTCTATATTGTATTATATAGCTACGATTATATAATATGAGATACGGAACAAGGACAAGAGATCCTGCTCACCGGGGTCGGTTGTGAATCGATCCCGCGTCTAACGTGTTTTCCCAATCAAAGATATCGGTCCAAGTGACCTTAAGAATTTTCCTTAGGAAAGCTGTGATGAGATCGGGAGAGGAGGAGGCCGAGAACTCTCGCGGGGTCGCGGGGTGATTCGCGATAAAGTCGGAGGTCGGGACGCCTCGAGATCGGCGGCGCTCCCATTTGAAGCGCGAACCGGCGGATTCTCAGCGGAGGAATGCGGTGGTAGTGGCCGATGCAGAGCCCGAGAGTTCGAAGAGAGCGACAATGAAGATCCCTCCCCACCTGCCGAGCTCCTCCTCTCGGCTGTCGGAACGCTTAACGCCGAGGAATGTAACGTTGAACGTTAAGACGCGCGCCTCGGCATTCCTTCGCCGGGAATCCCGCCCGCCGCCGTATCTCAATAGCGAGTCCACCTTTGATCCTCTGCGCCGTAATCGCGAATTATTCTGTACTTCGCATTGCGTTGAACGCGATGGGGCTGTGGGCTCATGTTTGCGCTGAAAGAGCGGATCGGTAACGGCAACAACAACGCGCCTTCGCTCCCCCGAACGAGACTCTGCGTCGCCCGGGGCTGAAATATTTGCGTGCGATTACGGCTGATCGAGCTCTTTAATCTCCCATTTATCTGGTTCAATTTAACACGAAGTTTAACTTGCGAAGCTTAAGTTCGGCTCAACGCATTGCCAATCGATCGGGTCGATCTATCTGTTTAGCGAAAGCGAAGTCTCCCCTCTAACGGGCGGAGGACTTACACAGCAAATCCGAGTGTGTAATTTTTACGCGTTTTGTTTCAGTCACTTTTCACACATGCGTAACTCACACGTGTTACCAGTATGTAATTTTACACACAAATGTGTAAAAATTACACGACAGATCTAAATGTGCAATTTTTGCACACTTGCGTAAAATCATAGTATGATGCGTGATAAAACGCGCGTAAAAATGTGTGAGAAGTGACTTACACGTGATATCACACTTGGATTTGCAGATTGTGTGAATAAAGACGTAGAGTCGCATTTGCGGGAGGAGAGGCCAGGAGGAGGTAACAGTCCGACAGCCATCGCTATCGGAATGTCATCATCCCGATCGTGATCACGGAGGCGGACGCGACAGGACTAAAGAGACTACGTTTGTTGAGCTAGTTGGATATTCGTTCGATTTAAGTAGGTAATGTTACGTTTGTGTAAAGAGAACGTTGCGTGTGCGTATCGCGACGCGCCGCGGAGCGTCGCGAGGCTTGGATCGCGGCGAAGTTACACGGACGCCGGCGAGGTTTCACTGCGGGAAGAAGCGGCTCATTTAGGGAAAGAAATGTGAGAGAGAAGAAAAAGAGAGAGAGAGAGAGAGAGAGAGAGAGAGAGACCCCTTTAACGGCGCGTCAACGAGATCCAATTGCCGCTCCAATGGCACAAACTCGCTCGTACGGCCTGCTGGACGTCGCGGATGAACACTCCTCCCCGAAGAAATCGCATCCCCTGGATGTGTGTTCGCTCGATCGAGACAGCTCGCGGTGAATCCAATCCAAGCGAGACGGACGCGGTTTCAGCGTCTTCTGAAATGATTTCGACGTCCTCTTCCGTCAATTTCTACTTCGCGTATTCTCCGTTTCGGCCTCCCTCGTCTGATAAGCCACTCCGATAAGCTTGCTCATATGTCGCGAGCCGTCTCGATCGGGGGAGCGAATTCCTCGAGGAGCGTCCATCGTCGCAAAGACACCGGCGAAGCCCAGCATGCCGCACGCGGGCGGATACGCTGAAAGCGCGCAACGTCGCGCGTGGTGCAGATAAACGCTAACTCCAAGTAACCGGAAAACAAGAAAAAGATAAAAATAAAAATAAAATAAAATCTATAAACGTGTTAGATAAAAGAATCTTTCGACCGGCACTTTTAGGTGCTGCCATGTCTTCCATTATTTGTATATTATTATTAATAATAAAAATCGACTATAACGTATTAACGTAACGTACCCCCTCACGCCCACAGACGCGCGCGCGCGCGCGTGCATCACTCGGTGTGACATGTGTGTGATTTCGAGTGTGTGTGTGAGAGAGAGAGAAAGAGAGAGAGGGAGAAGGAGAGGAATAATCTGTTTTTGAACATGCACTGTATATATTGGACACGCACCGTATATACCCGAGTCGCCGTTCTAAAATTGTCCGTCTCTAAACTTGTTTCCGAGCGATGCGGAAGTATGAGAGTGTAAAAGATCTCTTGTCTTGGGTGAACGAGAAATTCTCCATCTCATCGTCGTGGACGTCGTTTCGGCTGTTATCCGCTGTCATCAGCTTTCGACGGATCATTTATTAGATGTTGTCTCCAGAAACGTACGCAATATATACAGAACGTATGAAAATGAGGAGCGAAAAGACAAAGAGAGAGAGAGAGGGAGAGAGAGAGAGAGAAAGAGAGAGAAAACTATCGCTACCTCTTACATGTAGATAGTGAAGCTGAGAGGGAGAACTGAACCGAAAAAGACAATAGCTGTTTTTAATACTTCTCTTAACCGTAATTAGCTCGATACAATTACAGCCAGAACGCGGCGCGCCCCTTTCGCGCGTGTGCGCCGCGTCTTATATAATGTTATACTCTAGGATTAAATATACGAAAGATAATTAAAAAAAAAAAAGAAAGAAAAGCTTATGCTGCGGAAAGCAAAGCAATGTTCTTGTCTAATAATTATCGTTACGGCCTGATCGACTCCGATCTGGCCGGAGGATTCTCCAACGCGTCGAAGGAGTTGCGATAGTTTAGAACATCTCGATGTGGCCATGCGTGTTGTATGTATGTGTGTGTGTGTGTGTGTGTGTCTTACACGAAACGAGGCGAACAGCGTACCCCGACAGGAGGCGCCCGACAACGGGGGGAGGTCGCGGAAGGACGAAATGCCTCGCGATCTTTCGCGGGAGAAACGGAACTTACACTTTTGGAACGATCTGTACTCGAACGATTTCAATTATTCTCACTGTGCGATCAAACCGACTCTTTGGAGCCGTGTAGGAATGTTTGCTCCCTTTGTTTTGGTAACTACCGCTAATTAGTCCTTTCCGAGGCGCGCGATCGAGTCGCTTCGTGTGAGACACCCCGAGTACGTATGTAAATACCAACGCGAGCGTGCGCGCGCGCGCGTACACACAACACCCACACATACACACACAATACACACAGACTCACACACGAACCACTTACACGAAGAAGAGGGGAAAAAGGAAAAGAGCAACACACAGGAGGATAATTGCAAACTTATTTAATATTATCTAAGTATAAGGATACGATGTAATATTGTATGACAAAAGTGTGAGAGCGCGCGCGAGAGAAAGAGAGAAAGAACAAGAGAGAGAGAAAGAGGGAGTTGGTATTTTTCACAGGATTTTTAAGAGACACAGGGGTCGGTGTGTGTTTATCGTTTCGCCATAAGTTCCGACGAGGTACGGTACGACGGTGCGTGCGTGCGTACTTCGCTGTATTTCCCCGAGGCGTACGTTGCTGCAATTGAATAGTTTGTGCGAGGGTGCAGCGTCGGTGCGGACGATCCGTATCGGGGGGATCGACGCCGCCCGTCGTTCCCCGACGGGATCGCCCACTCTTTCCGCACTCGTCGTTCGCATTCGCCGAGAAGAGAATTCGGAACGTCGGGACGCCGCTATCCGGAGATTTCGCGCGGTCCGTGTGTGCCCAGAGTGCCGCCCCCCCCCCCCCCCCCC